ATTTTGGCAAAGTACAATTTATCATTATGTTTAAGCACTATATGGGAATGAATAGAAATATGGCACCAAATTATTTTCGTGTCTTGTTTCAATATAGTACTTTTCAGTTTTCTTTAAATTATTTTATCAATAACCTTATCTATTATCTATGTAGTATCATATTTCTGATATCACATTTCAGCACTTACTCATATGTAATTGGGACTTACTATGCATAAAGTAAATGGCATTTTTGATTTCCTACTGCCTTTGTGAAGTAATTTCCAGATACAGAGCAGGGAACAAGTAAACATAATAAATATCCTTTCATTAACTAAGTCACTACCTCTTTGGAGGAATTTTCGCATATAAAATTTAAAAAATTACTAGGCTAAAGCTTCCTACTTCTTTCTTCTCCAACTATTGTCTTTTATTGCTCAGTACAATTCCATGTTTTGGTATTACATTTTGATCCAGAAAATTGTTGATCAAAGTTTTTTGGCAGGAGAATAATACAATATGGTGACAAATCAAGCTGCTATTCTTATTTCATCAGTCATTTCTCTAACACATTGTGGACAATGGTCTTCCAAGAATAAAACTTGGAAGATTTATTTTTCTTTGTCAAAGGCAACAGTTTCCTCATTAGCCCTTTTGCTTGTATGTACTGTAAATATTTGGTTTGGTTACTGTGACCTGTCAACTCCGTCAACATTTTGTAGCATCACATCCCCTTACTGATTAGTCCTTTCCGTGAGCCCTCGTATGAAGTCCAAGTTCTTTATTTTTGGCTACAAATAAACTCAAATGATCAATACAAGGTGCCACTCTTTTAAAATTTTCTTTAATCTAAAATTCACATTTCTAATGCAGCCATATGTTTCCTATTGACTGCCTTCTTAAATCTTAATATGTTACCTCTTCCACCAAAAGTATGTGTCTCTTTTACATACAATTCTTAGTTTTTCCTGGGGTATGTGTATTATATTACCATTCTGAATGCAAAATATAATTATGAATTTTGAAATTTTTAACATAGGAATAGCATAACTATTTCACCTCGTCTTCCACTTCATCTGTGAAAACTGGGTTAAGAAAGATTCTGAAGCTACATCATGTGCTCCAGGTATTCTCATTCAAGACTTGGAGCATAGGAATTAGGTTTCACTTTGTACAGAATGTTGCAGGCAGTTAGTTGACTTTTACAAATACTACCAAATGGTGTTGATAAAATTCATCCTGCCTGTGAACAAACACAAAACCTTTGCACCATACCCTCTAGGTTGATGTGGAATACATTTTTTTCTAAATTAAACTACCATTGCTAGGAAGCATCAAAAGAACTCTCTAAAAGCAAAGGTTTCATCAAGGAGAGACTCTACGTAAACTCCAGGGAAAGCAATGAGTAGATCATTACAGAGTTATCAGCCCCCTGCAAAGTTATAAATTGAAGAATCAGTATGCTATCAAGTGGAAAAGAAAAGCAGAGGGAAGGCATGAACTGAGCAGTCTGCCATCTTTTCTTTGGAAATGAACGACAGCTACACACACTGCATATACACTACTCCATTCTGTAAGTTTTAATGAAAAAATTGGTTAGTGGGAGATAAATCACGTCTTAGAAAATTAGGTCATGTGTTCTATGAAGTATGACTTAGACTCTACCTTTAGCCAGTGCATATTAGTAACATGTGAGAACTAATTTTGAGGCTGGAAAGGAAAATCTGTACTTTCTACATGAATTATTGCTTCATTCAAAATGTTCTTGCTCTATATGGTTTGTATGTTTAGCAATTCTCTGTAAAATCTTCTCTTAAAGCATTGTCCCTAGCTGAACTTCCATGCACTCAATGGGAGATATTAATACCTTCCTTATCAAGATTCCTAGCTTACTCTACAGATCTGCTATTAAAGCAATCAGCATACATTACTGCAATTACTTGATTACTGTCTGCCCCACTGGACCACAGGTTCTTAAAAACAGAAATTGTTTCTTAATCAATCTTTTGATTCTCAGCACATAACATAATGCTTTGCAGAAGGAAGGCCCTTAATAAATACATACAAATGAGTAAATTTATTCATTAGTGTTACAGCTGAGGAGAAAAAAAGTGACCTGGGTAGACTAAAGTTAATATTTTCAAAAATGGTGGATGCCAATTTTGATAGATTTTAAAAAATCACAGAAGTTAGAGTGGAAGTCAAGGGGAAAAGTCTTGCTGGGACCTGGGAGTGAAGAGTAGGGAAGTAAATATGCTGGTAGCAGAGTTTAACCCTGAAACCAAAATGGCAATAGAAAAAAAAAAGGCAATAGAGGTGTTGGTTTTAGGGTTAGATTTGAGTAGAAGGACATTTGATATTATTCCATTTCAAATTTGTCTTTGTTGACTATATATCCTTTCTTTAAGGAGGAGATAGTAACAGGTGCTAAGGAAAAGTTGGATGATAGAGCTAACATAAGTAATAAATAAACCTGATGTTTTATGAATGTTATTACATTAAACTCTAACAAGTTTATGATTTGGGTATGTCTGTCTATCTCTTCATCCCAGTATAACTAAAAAAATATAGCTTCCAAAATAATTCAATTATTACTCAAAGTCTGTAGTCAGTAAGTGGCAGAATCAGTATTCAGAATAAGGCCTTTCTGATTCCAAAGCCTATTGTCTGAATTGAGATGAAGGAACCAAACAACAGAGATTCATATTCAAGTAGTGTTGAGAATGCTCCATTGAAATCTCTTCAAACTACTTCTTAGTTTTAAGTGTCTTAAGTCCTTGTAAACTACTTAGGTTTTAAGAATTTTAATAGGTCTTTGATTTAGGGAGTTTTATGCTTTTTTTGAAAAAAAAAAAAGATTGCATTTCTGCTGATTTCCATATAATATTCCATATAATATCCAATTTCTCCCATTATAAAGAAAAGTTCTTAGAGACATAAATTATTCTGGTGATGTATCCAAAAGGTAACAAGTTCAGGCTTTGGAACCTGAGAGAATATTTCAGACCTGGCCTCTGCCACAGCCCATTTGCTTTTGGGAGACATTTCTCCATTTTACACTCATGTTTCTGCATATCTTTGAGCACAGGTACCAATTGTCCTCCTTTTTAGTACCTGGTTATCCTTCCTTATAGAAAATAGCCAAGGAGAATACAGTGTTTTCCACCAGAGCAAAGGATAACTCTGCTTACAGCCTTGAGGGACAGAGACGGTGCTCCCTCCAGAGGAAAGAACGGGTGTGCCTACTGTCCATTATAAAAAATTCAGGTTTCTAAGCTCATGGTTCATCTCTTAGAATACCATTGAGTAAGTTCTGCAGGCATCTGACAGTCTTCATGCCATTCTATGAGAATTAGGGCTTGAGAAACTGGCACAAATCCTGCTATTCTTGCTCCTAGTGCTGCTGTGAGTAATAAACTATCCTTTATTCTGACTCAACAGTCTTGTGTTTCCGTCATCATCCATGAAACTGTGGCAAATAATTTTAACTTGAAAGTAGAGTAAAATGTCAGAACTCTTCATAGTTCTTGATGTTTACCAGCTAATAATCTAAAGCAATTATTTTTAAATATCTAAGCTTTGGTTTCCTATTATAGTGAAATTTAAAAGTGATAATGCTTATAAATTTCACAGTATATTTATAGTGCTTAAATAAATGATAGCTAATAGTAGTTATGCAATATTAGTAGCAACAGCAGCAGTAGCAGTAATGATAGCGGTAATTGTGGTAGCCGTAGTAGTTGAAGCATACGCAGCAAAGGAATCTAACATTGAAAGAATGCCACCATATAGCAGACATTTTTACTAAGCAGCCAGTGTAGCTTATCTTATTTAATCCTCACAACAAATGGAACAGGTGTTTTGTGTTTTCTTTTGTTTTCCTTAGTTAAATGAGGTAAATGAGACTCAAATTGTTGAACTGATTTTCCTGAGGTAACTCACATGGCAATTGACAAAGCTGGGATAAGAAGCTTGTTGTGTCTAATTACCAGGAGGTTGTGATGCATGCATTTGCAGTGACATGTTTGGGAGGAAGCTCTAAAGTAATTTAGATGGGCAGTTGGACATTCCCACATCCCAGTCATGGAGGAATTACAGAAGCACATGCTTGTTAAGGAATAAAAGAAGCCCAGAGGAAACACAATGTTGGCCTCCAGAATTTTTGTAAGAAAAATCCATCCATGTGCTTAGCTAATGTTGAATATGTTCTGTTTCCCAAGCTCTATATTTTGAACCTTTGTCCACATTATTATATTGTTGTGTTTTCCCCATGATACAAATAATCTTAATAGTATTGATAGTAAACAAATACAGTACAATTAATTTCAAAAATTTCCATGCTGTCTTCTATCAGAAAGATTCAGACTCAGTCAATATTTCTTAAAGCTAAACAATTTTGACAGCCTAATTAAATTTCTAAACATCATAAAATCCATGTTTTAAATATAAATATGAAAACATATAAATATACAATGCAGGCATAACTATGTACATAGATATATATAATTTACTACCTAATTTCACAAACAATGTGATAGAGATACTAGTCAATACTAAAATTTAGTATTTTTCTCTCCTTTTCATGTAGTATATGAGACTATTTATCCTTTAGGTTTTTGTTTTTTTGTTTTTGGTGTTTTTTTGAGACAGAGTCTTGCTCTGTCTCCAAGGCTGGGGTGCCGTGGTGCTATCTCAGCTCACTGCAGCCTCCTCCTCCTGGGTTCAAGCAATAATCCTGCCTCAGCCTCCCGAGTAGCTGGGACTACAGGCGTCTACTACCACACATGGCCAATATTTGTATTTTTAGTAAAGATGGTGCTTCACCACATTGGCCAGGCTGGTCTCAAACTCCTGACCTCAAGTGGTCCACCCACCTCAGTCTCCCAAAGTGCTGGGATTACAGGTGTGAGTCACCATGCCTGGACTCTCCTTTAGATTCTGTAGAAGAAACAGGCACCAAACACATTTTTCAAATACACTGGCTGATGACAACTCTCATTTTTAAAGTGTTTTCATTTTACCTCTACAGATAGGCACAGGAAAATCCCACGAAGCTGTATTAACTGAATTGGCTATGCAGGTGAGCTGAGGGTGGCCATCAAGGATGTATCCAGTGACACAGCTGTAGCGGATCTTGTCCCCGACGTCGAATCTTGTACCATATAATACACCTTTGGGCGGAACACCAGGATTTCCACAAGAGCTACTCTGCAATTCTATTAAAAAGGAGGAAAAGGACAGTTTACAGTTATTTCAATAAGCAGTTTTTTGTTTCAGATTTATAAAATTATATATATAGATATGGATATTCTTATTTCTTTGGAGAAGAGTCACTGAAAAGAAATGTCTTCTATTCCAACACATGTGACAGTGAAATATGGAAAGAAAACTAAACTTTATCACAGAGGTATTACTGGTCATTCTTTATGCTAGAAAGTTTTAGATATTATATTACTTAGTCTTCCGAGCATTACTCATATTTTTACTCATATATTAATATTTACTCAGATAAGTAAAACTCCATGGCTTTTTCAAAGTTACATTCTAATAACATAGTAATAAGCAAATTCATTTCCTTAACATTATCTTCAGTCCTTCAGTGCTTAGTCTTAAACCATGAACCTAGATAAAATACATATTTTGCATGGAAACCTTTGTTTCATTTAAATGAGAAAAACACAGTGGAGTAGTAAGTGGACAATTTTTAAAGTTAGGGAGGGAGGATGAGCTAGAATTCCAGCTCTATTATTTGTTATTAACTTTGAGTGTATATTAAGAATGATAACAATAAGTGCAAACAATTGTAATATTTTAATTAGATCAATAGGCAAAATATATGGAAAATGATATATCAGAATGTTTTATCTATCACCTTCTTATTCTATTAGTTGATGCTTAAAACTAAACAAGTATACAAACATGAGTTTTTAAAACAATATTCAATTCAGAAAAAATCCAACTTTAGATTAAATGAAAAAAATTGAAAAAAGCAGAACTTCAAGAATAAAAATATTAGAGATTATTCTCATATTGTTTTGTACATTTTTATTTTATTACTGTTATATTACCTTTATACTACAAATAATAAAATCACAAACAGTAATTAATGAACTAAAAGATATCACAATTTGAGTAAAGTCGGTAGTTAATAGTATTGTGCAAACATTAATTTCTTAGTTTTGGCCATTTTACTGCAGTTACATCAGCGGTTATATTAAGGGAAACTAATTAAGACTATGTGGGAACTACTGTTCTTGCAAAATAATAAGCTGAGAGTGATGTTGCAATAAAAAGTAAAATATTTTTCCCATTTTGCTTTGATATTTATTTCATTTGTGCAGTTACTAAGTTCTATATAATATTACAATGCTAATTCAAATAATTACAAACCATTGTAATAATTAAAATATCAATGTCAATACTAAGCAAAAATATTAAAACACAAAATGGTTCACAATATATAGCTTAATTTTGAGAGTGTTTTTTAAACTTACGTTAAATTTTTTGTCTAAACTTTTCAAAGCAAGTAAAAGAAAAATCACGGATTAATTTCCAGTATGAGATCAATTTAATCAAGAAAAATGTATTGAGCACAGGACATCCATATATTTTAGAGAAAAAAATATTTACTTTGAGTTTTAAAAATGTAGTTTTAGGTTTCTTAAAACTAAAAAAGTGAAGAAATTGACTAATATTTACTAAATGTATATGGTTTCAATAGATAATTTTCTTAATAATACATTCTAAACTTAAGTTTGTAAAATATTTAAAGTGTCGGTAGTGAAGGTTATTTCTAATTGTTTATTTTGTTATTTCTCAAAGACATATGCTATATGTGAATTTTCACTAAAACAATACTAATTTATTGTCTGTGAATTTTGAGCAACTTTTAAAGAAACACTTTGAACAGTAGTTTATTTTGAAATACTTAATTTTTTGGAAAATCATCTGATTAACAGATGAGATGTTTGCTCCCAGAGACAGTGAGGTTAATAAGTTTTGACAAAATGAACAAAAATTCAATCCCCTGAATATAGTAATAACAAAGGCGATACTTTTAATGAAACTACCACTTTCGGCCTTAGAATTAAACCACTCCTCTTCCTTCTACCCTCTAAAAAATAATTAAGGTCAGGACTTCAATTATCGTAAAGTTATATGTCTAGGAGAAAAGTGGTTTCCAAATTATGTCACAGGAAGCAACTAGGTGGGGGAATAAAATGAAAGAGAAGAAAGCTCTGAATAGTTTTTGGACTCAAAATTAACTTTGATTTAAATGAACAAATAAATATTATCCAGAATAAAGTACCTAAAGCAAAATGGAAATCATGTCAGGTGAAGCAGTGAATGAATAGTAACATTGAATGGAATCTTAATAGATTACTTAATCTCCAGGCTTGTGGCTGAATTATTTCTAAAACTGATAAAAAAATTTAGGTTGTTTCAAAATGAAACTCAAAGAAGACAATTTTAAAGCATATCTGGCCTCCGCTTTCAGGAAATTCCTGCTGTTGTTTGTGCTTGTTTATCATCTTCATTTATAGAAACATCTACCCATCATCATCTGTTAACTGAGTAATTTATAAAGACAGTTAAGATATTTTACATTCAGGTTTAATTGATCCTGATTCTATAACTATTGCTCGTGGATTATATTTTTTGTCTTCTCCCAACCCTTTAATTCAGGACTTCTCTCTATGCTGTCTATGTGCATTTTCAAATGCAAAGCAAGTAAGATGTGTCACTAACTGAAGTATATAACCCACCATCAAAAAGACTATGTTCTGATTGAACATTCGCTTCTTACTCTTAACATTTTAAAACTAAGTAGTGCTGCATATTTAAACTTTTGAATTAAATTTACTTTCAATAAAAAGAGTTTTAGAAATTGCCAGGATAGACTAGTTTTTAGATAATGTTTCTTCCAGCCATCCAGAATTTGAATTTCAGAACAGAAAACCAAATATCACATGTTCTCAATTATAAATGGGAGCTGAACAATGAGAATACATGAACACAGGGAGGGGAACAACACTTACTGGGGCCACTTGTGGGAGGGTGGAGGTGGATAGAGTATTGGGGAAAAGAGCTAATGCATGCTGGGCTCAATATCTAGGTGATGGGTTGTTAGGTGCAGCAAGCCACCATGGCACAGTTTTACCTATGTGACAAACCTGCATATCCTGCACATGTACCCGAACTTAAAAAAAAAAAAGAAAATGAATTACTCAACCATGTTCAGTAAATCAAACTGTAAAATAATTATTAAATACATGTTGCAAGTATTTACAGTAAGTGATATTGCTTAAAATATATAAAATTATTAAGGAAAACACAAACTTATAAGGGAAGATTTTTTTTTTGTAATTCATCAGATGTACATGCAAGCTAGACATATCATACTTGTTACCTCAATGTGTTTTTGAAGCGAATTATTACACCTAAAAGCAGATTGCTGAAAAGACTTCAGTTATCTTCCTTTACCAGCAGATGACAGTAATATATTGATTAAGAGGTTTAGGTAACTAACACAAAATAATAGAATCTGACAAATTGTCTTCTAATGTCCCATAATACAAAGATTAAAATGGGATTGGAGTAGGGGAGGAAGTACTATAAAACTATTTACACAATATTCTTGGTTGAGCACTTAGAGTGGGCAGGTTGGTGAACTGAGATCACTGGAAAATAAACCTGAAGAATTTGTACTCAAAATATGTCTCAGAAAATGTCAGACACCCTTTATGTTAAGTTTACTGCTCTAGGCATAACAAATCATTTAGTCTAATTAAAATCCATCTGATTTTGGCTGGAAAGATGTGTATTTTATTTATCTTCTCTTCTCGCAGCATTGAGATTATCAGCAAATATGAAGATATTTTGACAACATAGACTATTCTAAAGTGTAAAAGATTTTTGATATTGCAAAATAATTCCTTGGAAAATATACAAGATAAACTTTTAAAAATTCAATTGTGTTTGAACGGGTAGAGTTTAGCGACACTCTTCTCTGTTAGTTAAAAGAAAAGATAAATGACTTGGTAAGTGACACTGACACTATTTTATTCATCAGAAGCTTTTAAGAGTTACCACTAACATTGCTCTATGATGTGCACTAGTTAATACTGTAACATGTCCCTTGCCTTCTGAGCTAACAATTTGAGAAAGTCAACCTTTGTTGTAGAGTATCAGCTATAATAGGCATTTGGGCATTCTTCCACTTCTATCTCATAGAACACTTGACATTATGGGTATAATTCTCCCCATTGTGTAGAAAGGAAAACTGAGACTCAGGAAGATCAAGTAACTTTCCAAAGGCCATCCACTAATAAATAGTAGACTTGTGGTTCAAACTTAGGTTTCCTAACTCAAAAGTCTTAGATCATTTCACAATTATATATTGCTATCTACTAAAGGCAGATATTCATTCCACAAGTGTTTATTAAGCATCTATCATCAGTAATGCTCTGGGGATATAGTCTAGCAAAAGGTAGACATGGAGTTTATGATTTGGTGGTTACTAAAAGTAATACATCAGTAATTTACAGAATATTAATTGTATTGTGACATGTCACAGAAAGGAAACATATAAGGTATACTAAAGGCATATAATGGCGAAATCTGAATTAGTATTGATTAAGAGGAGATCTGGAAAGGATTTCCTGATAAAGAAAGGCTTTAATTGTGATCTGAAATGGGTAAAAGATAGTTTTTGTTTGTTTGTTTTTAAGGGCAGTGAATAAGTATATTTGAAATAGAAAAGTATAAGAATCAAAGTACTGTAACAGTTATTAGGTTTGACAACACAATGAAGACAGGTTTCATGGAAATGGTAGGGTAGGGTAGAAACTAGGTTGGGAAAAAATATTTCAAAAGGGTTTATCATAGATGGCTTCACACAGTGATGTATATCCTTTGCATAGGCTCATAAATATGAAGGAGGACTATATCTTCATTAAATATTTGGTGGTGCGGTGCTATCTGCTTTTTAAAAGAGTAATTGAGAGTAAACAATTAACATACATTTTATAAATGTACATGTGAGCAGAGATTTTCATAAGCATGCATGATATAAAGTGGGTAAGTTTACTAATTTAATACTAATTCAATATTGAGTGGGAAAATTGTGATAAAAGGAATTATAAAAATTATTTTTTAAAAAATCAGTAGCCAAAATAATGTATGCATATTATTTTAATATGAGAATACCAATTTT